CTTTAAACAAGCATGTTCCCTAATTGAGCAGGGATGTAACATTGAAACAACGTTAAGCGGGACGACGTTAAATGAGGAGTTACTGTAGGAAGCTCACTGCAATGTTTTTACCTGTCCTTTCCTTCCTAGTGAGCGCATGTTTGGCCGGATGCTGCTGACTGCACTCTGGTTGTACTTCTCTTTGAAAATGTTCAGTGGGTATACTTCCCACTTGTGTTTTGTATTTAAGTGTGCAGGCGTTTTGAAAATACAGCTTAATGTGTAACTAAGAGCTTTTGCTGTATTAAATGTTGTTACTGTTGCTCTTTCTCTTTCCCTGCAATTCAGAAAAGCATCTTATACTGCAACGTAAAGATGAGAATAAAGGGAGTTAATAAAATGGAGATATTTTCTGTTTAAAGTAGGATTAAAGGTCTTGAACAAAAATGTATCAAAAAGTTAAACAATCTTTATTAATATGATTGCTAACTATTCCTCAGATGCAACATCTCTAAACAGTGCTATTCTGGATCTCTTTCAAAATGACAAATAGTAGTTTAAGTACAGTGTCAAATTAATGGTGATACAGGTGTAACTTGTCAGAACCAAAGCAAACTTGTGTAATTTACTTGAAATTATTGTGTGGGGCAGGGAGAGGGTAGTTCTGAAAGTCTGGGAAGAAAGTATGCCTTTGGTATAAAGATTTGAAAAGCTTTTAAATGGCAACCTTCTTAAAACTATTTCATTTCACATTAGTTTTCAGATGAATGTTAATATATCGTTTACTTTTCCTAAAATCCTGGTTTATGGGACTGAAAAATACCTCAAGTTCCAGGACAACTTTCCCATAGCATCTCTCCTTTCAATCTCTGTTAAGAGTTTAAATGTTGTAAGAATCATATTTACAGAGATAACCTATGGTTGTTAGGCTGGAGAGAGTGTTTACTTTGGTTCTCAGGTGATAAAGTTAATGGTTTTGTCCCATTATACAGTTTGGTATCAGGCAGAAGAGAACATCAATAATCTATTGCTTTAATAAAGGAATTTGTTATGAAACCAGGGTCCAGTAGGTGGTTGTCTTGTCATTTTCCTAAAACTTTTGTATGGTGCTTGCAGTTACATTGATTCCTATAATTTTAAAAGGTAATTGTTAAAGGTACACTGCCCGTTGGAGGAGGGGAAAGAAGTTAAAACTTCCATGTCTGCTGCTATATATGGAACATCTCTTCTGAGCACCACCACTTTCCTCATTTAATTCCTTCCAGAAGTCCCATTTTTTTTCACAGTACTTACAAGATATTACATCATCTCAACTCTGTTTTTTTCATCTATTTATCTTAGGAGTGAATTGCTCATTTTTTTGGAGAGAAAGGACATAAGGGTACTGGACATGACATTGGGGACTTGTGAGAGGGAACTTGAGGAGTGTAGAGGTATGGACTTAACTGCTGGTGCACCCCCTTGTGGCTGGAAGTGGCATTGTAGACTTCCGCCTCTGCCAACAGCTGCTTTGTCCCTGTGGTGGTCTGCCTCTTCTCATGACTCAGCCCTCTGTCCATGTCATGTTTAATCGACCCCTTCCAGGGTAAAGAGAGTCCAGTAAACTCCAAGAAATACAATATAACTCTTCTCCTCTGTCTGGGCTCACCCCATGCAGACTCTTCACCCTTTCCCAGGCTCTGCAGGATGCAGAGCAATGCATCCTAGGAGGCCCAGCTCCAAACTCAGTAGTCCTCCTCCCCCTTTCACCAGGGTGTTTCTGTACCACCTTTTCCAGTGAACAAGTAGGGAAACTCAGACCCTCCTTTTTCTCCAGGTCGCAGTCCAGGAACCTGTGGCAAGTAACTAATTTCTACTCACTCAGACTCCTCTCTAACTCCCTGGATGTCTTACTAACTTGGCCTGTCTTCAGGCCCTTTCCCATAGCCACACCATGAGCGTGCTGGATCTAGATCTTTCTTCTACTTTCTAGCAACCAGAGAGGAACTGCAAAATTCTTCTCCTCTCTCCCTGTAACCCTCCTTCTCATCTTTCTTCTTTTATGCTCACCACCCAACTTCTCCCTCTGCTGAGCTTCATCTTCAATTTGGCCTGGCCCACCCTCCAGGTAACTTAATTGAACTTTCTAGCTCCAGTTAACCCTTTTAGTGCAAGTGTGAGTTATATATCCCATCAGAAGGAGGTTGAATGGTAGAGGGAGGAGGGGAATTTAAGTTAGAAAACAAAACATTTAACTAATATGACATGTACCTATTTTCCCATTGATAGTTTTGCTTGCATGGTATATCCTATGCCCCCATGATTTGTCTTTATCTTTCAAGGGTAGGGACTCTTCAGGATAGGGACTATCTCTTCTCTGTATTTGCAAAGTGGCCAGCATTTTTTGGTATTACCACAGTATAAATAATAATAGACAATATAAATAGGATAGGCTAATTTCATTCCTAAATATCAACAATACAGTGTTCAAAAAGATGGAAGCAAAACATGTATTCCAGATTTATTCCAATTGGATGCCTACTGGAGAATATCCATTGTGTAATTAACTAATTAATAAAAAAGAAATTCTGGTGCTCAGAAAATGTTATAATTGGACTCACAAAAAGCTTTAACACAGTGGAAGGGATTTTTGAAGGCAGTAGTCAGCGTAGGGAACAGTATTTAGAAAGTAGCTGATGAAATAGTTTTGTACTGTCAGTTATAAAAGTCAAGGCAGGAACTAATCCTTATTTTGCATTATTTCCTACTTGGGAAATCTTCAAAGATTTGTTAAAAGCAACAGAGGGTTCTGTGGCACCTTTAAGACTAACAGAAGTATTGGGAGCATAAGCTTTCGTGGGGAAGAACCCCACTTTTGCATCTGAAGAAGGGAGGGTCTTAACCCCGAAAGCTTATGCTCCCAATACTTCTGTTAGTCTTAAAGGTGCCACAGGACCCTCTGTTGCTTTTTACAGATTCAGACTAACA